TGCTCTGCTTGGTATAGGTTCCTTCACTATGGTCCAGTGGGGGACTTCCTATCCTAGAGTCAGTACTAGGATCCCTCTTGCCCACTGGTAATTTTCAGTTATCAGTAGTAAAACTAGCTTACCCTCACCTGCCTTCCTCTTTTATTTCCCTGTTAAGCTCCAGGACAGGGAAGAAAAATAGTATTTGATGGACTCCCTTAAAACCCTTTTTGAGGGATACCCGGGTGGCGCAGCGGTTTGGCGCCTGCCTTTGGCCCAGGGCGCGATCCTGGAAACCCAGGATCGAATCCCACATCGGGCTCCCGGTGCATGGAGCCTGGTTCTCCCTCTGCCTGTGTCTCTGCCTCTCTCTCTCTCTGTGACTATCATAAGTAAATAAATTAAAAAAAAAAAACCCTTTTTAAAAATGTACAAAAATCCAGTTGTCTTATATTTATTGATATTTCTAAGAACCTTGCTCAAAATCTCATTATGGCTAATAACAGTTCTAATAATTGTCTGCTGATCCTCAGATCTTCTGAAAAGAGAATCATATCCTCTAGGAGTAATAAGAATTTTTTGTTTCCTTTCAAATCTTTATGGTTTATTTTCCTTTTGTTTTATGGTGCTGGCTGAGAACTTACAAGAAATCCTTAAATAGAAGTGGTGATAGCGGTATCCTTGGTTAATGATTTTAAAGAGAATGCTTTTAGGGATGCCTGAGTGGCTCAGTAGTTGAGCATCTGCCTTCAGCTCAGGGTGTGATCCCGACCGAGGTCCTGGGATCAAGTCCCACATCGGGCTTCCCACAGGGAGCCTGCTTTTCCCTCTGCCTATGTCTCTACCTCCCTCTGTTTGTCTCTCATAAATAAATAAATAAGATCTTTGAACAACAACAAAAAAAGGATGCTTTTAAACTTTTCACATTGCATCTAACATTTGTTAAAAGTTTATCAATGCCCTTTTAGTAGGTTAAAGAAGCTGCCTGGATTTCCAGTTGACTAGATATTCCTAAAAAGAATAGACATTCAATTTTTCTAAAATACTGTTTTGGTAAAAAAAAAAATACTGTTTTGGTGTCTGTTGAGATGATTATGTGTTTTTCTCCTTTAACTTGCTAATATGATAAATTGTGTGATTTTAATCCAATTTTGTAATCTTGGAATAAACCTAACTTAGTCATGATCCTTTATATATATATTGCTGGATTTAATACTCTATTTTGTTTAGGATTTTTGAATCTTTGTTCATGAGTGAGACTGGTCTATATGATTTTACTTTCTCAGACTCTGTCTACTTTTGATATTAAAGATATAAGCTATGATGTGATCCCTTTTTATTTGCTCAGGGGGTTTGTGTAATATTGGAATTACCCGTTCCTTGAATTTTGAGTAAAAAATACTGGTGAGGCCATCTAGGTTCTAGTTTTCTTTGTAGGGGAGATTCTTGTCTACTGATTTAAGTTGTTTAATAGGTATAGGACTACTCAGATTTTCTATTTTTTAGTCAGTTTTAGCAAGTTCTAGTATTTCTAAGGAATTTGTCAATTTCCCCAGAGTTTACGAATTATTTGTTATCTTTTTAATCTCTGCTACTTTTTAAAATTTTTATTTATTCATTAGAGAGAAAGCAGGGGGAGGGGGAGAGGGAGAAGCAGACTCCCTGCTGAGCAGGGAGCCCGATGTGGGGCTACATCCAGGATCCCAGGATCACTGCCTGAGCCCCAGGCAGACGCTTCACCAACTGAGCCACCCAGGCACCCCTAATCTCTGCTGTTCCTATAATCACTTTCTTTTTTCATTCTCCTTGTTGGTTGGTTATTGGTGCTTTCTCCTTTTTGTTTGATAATCTGTTAGAGGTATAGTGGCTGAATATTCTCTTCAAAAAAACAGCTTTTGGCTCTCTATATTCTATCTTTGTGTTCTCTTTTGTTAATTTACACTCTCATATAATTTCTTGTCTTCTACTTTTCAAAGGATTTCTGTTAATGTTCTTTTTTTTTTTTTTTGGTTCTTGCATCTTTTTTTTTTATTATTTATTTATTTATGATAGTCACACAGAGAGAGAGAGAGAGGCAGAGACACAGGCAGAGGGAGAAGCAGGCTCCATGCACCGGGAGCCCGACATGGGATTCGATCCCGGGTCTCCAGGATCGCGCCCTGGGCCAAAGGCAGGCGCTAAACCGCTGCGCCACCCAGGGATCCCCTTTTCTTGCATCTTGCATTGACTGCTTGACCCTTAGTTTTCTATCTATCTATCTTCTCTCTCTCTCTCTCTTTTAGATTTTATTTATTTATTTGAGAGAGAGAGGGAGAGATCACAAGCAGCAGGAGCAGCAGGCAGAGGGAGAAGGAGAAGCAAGCTCCCAGCTGAACAGGGAGCCCGACCCAGGGCTCGATTGCAGGACCCCAGGATCATGACCTGAGCCAAAGGCAGAAGCTTAACCAACTAAGCCACCCAGGTGCCCCTCTCTTAATATAAACATACGCGAGGTCATAAAATTCCTCTAAGTACTACCATTGTAGACATAGACCACACATTTTGACAAATAATATCTTAATTAGCTTGGGTTAAGTAAACTATTGTTAAACTTAATTTCACCTGTTTCTATTTATTTATTTACTTACTTACTTACATAGTACTAGAAAATCTAGAATGAGCTATGTGGCCTGCCCGGTTTCTCCAACGGACAGTGCTTATTGTGGTCACTAGCGTGTTTGGATTCTCACCCACCATCTTGAATTGTGTTTTGACTTTAGACCACTTTTTCTATATTTCTTTTTTTACTACCCCTCCTTTGCGAGTTCTCCATTTAGATTCTTCCTCAAACTATTATTTTAATTAGTTTGAAAGTTCTATGTTCTGTTTCTGTTCTTTTATTTTTTTAATTTATTTATCTTAAGATTTTATTTATTTATTCATGAGAGACGCAGAGAGAGAGAGAGAGAGAGAGAGGCAGAGACACAGGCAGAGGGAGAAGCAGGCTCCATGCAGAGAGCCCGACACAGGACTCGATCCTGGGACTCCAGGATCACGCCCCAGGTCGAAGGCTTAACTGCTGAGCCACCCAGGCATCCCTGTTTCTGTTCTTTTAGAGGTGACTTTAGGAGAATTTTTTTTTTTCAAAATAGAAGTCTGTTGTGGGTTTGTCAGTGACAGACTCCCATTCTGTGTTTGTACAGGAGTTTTTGTGTGTCTGAAAATACTCTTGTTCCATTCCTGTATTTGAGGGTTGTGGATTCTCGGGTGAATGTTACTTTCTCCTAGCCCCTCGAAGATGCTTTGCTGAGAGGAGGAAGTTGAGAAGCCAGCCACCTGTCTAGCCATTGTGGCCTGGTGGGCCATCTGCCTTTCTCTCTGCCAAGCAGGCCTCTGACTCCTACCACAGCATGCCTGGGCATGGATTTCTTCCTCTTGATCCAGCTTTAATTTTCAATGGTTTTCAACAGTTTGGGAAATTTTGCAATGTTATCTCTCTGAATATCGCCTTGCCCACCTCCTCCCTGCTTGTTTATTCTGGAACATTTTTGTACTATCCTTAGTAATTGTGGACATCTCTTCATATCTTCAACTCCATCCATCGTTTCTTATCTGTCTTCTAGTTAGCACACCGTCCCCTGCTCAGTTGTTTGTGTTATGTTCTTTTGCCCTATAGATTGGATTTTTACATTACAGTTATTGTATTTTATTGTATTTTGTTCTTTTCCAAAATCTGGTCAGTTTTGATACTCTCTTATTTATCGGCCTCTCCCCCTTTTTGTTTTTTCCATATGAAACTTTATACTCTGCACATGATAATCCCAGTGTTGGCATCTCTACAGGCCCAGATCCTGCAGTGTTTGACCTCTGCTGACCCACTGACACGACTACTTTTACTATCAGCGTGTGATTGGTTGTGATTTTGGTAATGGCTCAGTGCTGTCCTCCTGAGACTCACTGTCCACCTCTGCGGGTCCTCGGGAGCCACTTGAAAGCTTCCAGGCCACTCCATGGTGTGACCTGGCACCAGATACCCTTGGGCTGCGGTGTGTCAGTCCCTCGGGTGGGACTTGGGTCCCCATATCCTTCAGCTTTGTTCTTTTTCCCCTACTCCTTGGGAGTGAATGCAGCTGCAGTTCTTATGTCATTTGGCTCCTCTTCTGGTTACAGGTTTAGTTTTCTTACAGGGACCTGAGTTGTGGGGGGATGTGGGGTGTCCCTGCAGAGCAGGTTTGCATTTTCCCATGCTGGGGGTGGCCTCCTGTGCTGCCATGGTGGTCAGCCAACGTTTCTGTGAATTTCTCAGCTTTGGGTCTCTACACTATGTGGGGGGCACAAATTCAGTGTGGATGTGGGGAAATTCTAATTTCTTAGGGTGGCTGTCCCATCCCACTCATGGCCCCAGGCAGGTGGCAGCTTCCTTGTAGCGCCCTCAGGTGGATGGAGTTTCACTAGTCCCCAGCTCACTGATGGGACAGAGCCTCCTGGCTCCGGGCTTCGTGCAGGCAGCTCAGCGGTGCTCCCAGCTTCACCTGGACACCAAAGCCCAGCACCTAAGGCCTGTGTCCTGTTCCAGCAACTCTCCAGGTCACTTGGCTCCTGTTTGAACTCTTGATTGGCTTTGTATTTGCCCTTTGATTCTTATATCTGGAATCTTTCTTTTCTGCTCACTTATATACATATATGGGGGTGAGGTTTTGGGGGATAGTTGGGGTTGCATTTTCTGTAGCATTTCTGTGTTAAAAGTGGGGGCAGGACTTCCCCAGAGCAGCTCAGTCTTCCCCATGGGCCAGAGGTCCAGCCCTGAGAATGCACTGTTGCATTCCTCACCCTTTCCCACCCTACCCTGTGCTACACCGTGTAACCTCATGCTTTGCCCAGAAGGCTCTACTGGCCCTGCTTGCCTTGGTCTTGCATTCCCACCAGGTTCTTCTGCTGTTTGACCGTGGTAAGCCCCTGTCCCATTTCCTTGGCTAGATGTGTGTCCACCTGAGGGCTGAGGGGCTCTGATGCTGTATGTTCATGCACTTTCCCTTTCTTAGGCTCGGGGCCCCCAGTTCCTGCCCCTGACCTCTTAATGCAGATCAAGCAGGAGGGCGAGCTCCAGCTCCAGGAGCAGCAGGCTCTGGGGGTAGAGGCATGGGCAACCGGACAGCCAGATATCGGGGAGGAGCCATGGGGCCTCAGCCAGCTGGACTCCGGAGCAGGAGACGTCTCTACAGATGCTGCCTCTGGTGAGTGGCTGCAACTAGAACAGATACCAGGAACAAGGTGCAGGGACTAAGGGCAAGGTGTGGGGAAAGACCTTCTGGAAGCACTGTGGGGGCTGTGGGCTTTCAAACATCTAGCCTGATTCATTGAGAAGTTTCCCCACCTGAAGGCAGGGGGCCGTACCAAATGATATTTTGAAGCCTCTCCCCCCTCGGTTTGGTGATGCTCTTGTCCTGGTATGTCTCTGCCTGAACTTCATCAGCTGCACTCCTGTTCTTGCCCCCACCATCAGGCATTTAAATTGCCAGTTGCCTCGCAACCGAGGGGACTATATGAAATAGGCCGGTGACATCTGTGCTTCCTGTTGCCTCAGAGAAGAAGCAAAAGAAAACCTGGTGCAGAGAGGCAGGACTGTTATGCTCCCACAGAAGAGACCCAAGCAGGATCTCAGGGTCTAGCCTGCCCTTCCTTCCCCTAACCCACGGGCTCTGATCTCTCGTTGCAGGTGTCCACTCCAACTTTTCAACCACTATCCCACCCACTTCCTGGCAGGCGGACCTCCCTCCCCACCATCCTTCTTCAGCATGCTCAGATGGGACATTGAAGCTCAACACGGCAGCCTCCACAGAAGGTATGGGCTGGTAGAGAAAGGACGGGAAGGGCTCACGTCTGCCTGGAAGGTGGCCTCAGCCCAGGGCCTCACTTTTACTGGTGAACGGCCCTGACCTTTCAGCCACCAGGCTGTTAGGTGTCTGTGTCGTTCGGACTCTGAACAGTCTGTCCTTTATCTCCTTCCAAAGTCTTATGCTTGAACAGCCTTTCTTAAGAATGTTTCCAACTGTCCTTTTCTCATATGGTCTTTTATTTTTTTTAGAGCTTTTATTTTTTTATTCATTTTTTAAATTCAGTTAATTAACATATAATGTATTATCAGTCTCAGAGGCAGAGATCAGTGATTCATCAGTCTTATATAACATCCAGTGCTCATCATGTCGCACCCTCCCCCATGCCTATCACCCAGTGTCCCTGTCCCCCAACCCGCCTCCCCTGCAGTGACCCTCAGTTTGTTTCCTATCTCATATGGTCTTAACTGGTCAACCCTGATACGCTGATGCCTTGAGAGGATGCCCCTCCTGCCGGTACTCAGCAACCCTGGCTCCAGGCTGACCTTGATACACCAAAACCAAACCAGAATGGCTTCTTAGATATCAATACCGCCAAAGACAGGCATGTGAGGGCCAGAATCAGGAAGAACCACTACCACATTTAGGGATTGTTTTTCTATTTACTCCTGTTTTGAAGGCCAGTTACCTATTACCTTAATCATTTCCATCATATTTTAGCACCCCCCCAAAAATGTGATAAAAGCCTAGATCCCTGATATAAAACTTCAAGATGTGAGATTCAAATACATTTATATAAAATCAAAGACATTTTTACCATTTCATTAATATATTTATCATTAGGTAGCTGGCCTCATTTACTGAATCCTTGCTACCTTCCAAATAGCATGCTAAGTGCTTTCAGACATGTCATAGGGTTTAATCCTCCTACAACCCTATGATATAGGGTATCACAGATGAGCTGTTGGTCAGAAAGTCACCCGAAGTCCACAGCTGGTCTGTGTTGGGGGGAGGAGGGGTTAAAGTACCATCGCAGATCCACCTCAGCCCAACACTGTGTTTTTTGCCCCTTGGCAACCTTGGCATCAGTGGTTCAACCTTAGGATAGATGTGTGATTAGCCTTTAATAGCCAAAGTGAACATGTAATGTGGTGAACAGATGTGATGGTGGCTTTACCTGTGAAGGTCCTCACCCCCCCAGTTGGAGGCAGCCACATGACCACTGGGAGGATGCTCTGCTGAGCTGGATCCTGAGGTGGGGAGAGTAGGGCTGAGCAGTGGTAGTCCTGAAGCTGACCCATGTTTCCGGTCTTCCTTCTCTAAGCAGGTGTGGGGACAGAATGATACTGGGTCTTTCTGTCTTTCTCAGCAGATGTAAAAATTGTGATAAAAACAGAAGTCCAGGAAGAGGAGGTGGTGGCCACACCAGTGCATCCTACTGACCTAGAGGCTCATGGGACCCTGTTTGGACCAGGCCAAGCCACAAGGTTTTTCCCTAGTCCCGTCCAGGAAGGAGCCTGGGAAAGCCAGGGCAGCTCCTTCCCCAGCCAGGACCCTGTGCTGGGGCTGAGAGAGCCCACCCGGCCAGAGCGGGACATGGGTGAGCTCAGCCCCGCGGTGGCCCAGGAGGAGACCCCTCCCGGGGACTGGCTCTTCGGGGGGGTCCGGTGGGGCTGGAATTTCAGGTGTAAGCCCCCCGTGGGCCTGAACCCGAGGACTGGGCCTGAAGGGGTGCCCTACAGCTCCCCTGACACCGGAGAGGCCGTGCTGGACCCCAGCCAGGCCCCGAGACCCTTCAGCGACCCCTGTAAATATCCCGGCCGGACCAAAGGCTTCGGCCACAAGCCGGGCCTGAAGAAGCACCCCGCGGCGCCCCCGGGAGGACGGCCCTTCACATGCGCCACGTGCGGGAAGAGCTTCCAGCTGCAGGTCAGCCTGAGCGCGCACCAGCGTGGCTGCGGGCTCCCCGAGGGGGCGCCGGGGGCGCCGGGCGCTGCGGGCAGCGGGGCGCGGGACGGCAGCGCGCTGCGGTGCGGGGAGTGCGGCCGCTGCTTCACGCGCCCGGCGCACCTCATCCGCCACCGCATGCTGCACACGGGCGAGCGGCCCTTCCCCTGCACCGAGTGCGAGAAGCGCTTCACTGAGCGCTCCAAGCTCATCGACCACTACCGAACCCACACGGGCGTGCGGCCGTTCGCCTGCACCGTGTGCGGCAAGAGCTTCATCCGCAAGGACCACCTGCGCAAGCACCAGCGCAACCACGCGGCGGGGGCCAAGGCCCCGGTCCGCGGCCAGCCCCTCCCGCCCCTCCCGGCCGGGCCCCCGGACCCCTTCAAGAGCCCGGCCGCCAAAGGACCCCTGGCCTCCACAGACCTTGTGACCGACTGGACTTGTGGCCTGAGCGTCCTGGGACCCAGCGACGGCGCAGACCTGTGAGGGGCTCCCCCGTCCCGTCACCCCACCCCCGGGCTGGCTGGAGGGGGGCTCCCGGTCCTGTTGCCCCACCCCACCCACCCACCCCCAGCCCAGGCCGCGGAGGTCGGAAGTCCCACCTGCGGACATCGAGTTGGACATCGGGGTGGCGGTGAAAGCGGGGACCCGGGGAAAGCAAATTTCCGAGTTGCCGAACTGATCACTGGAGAAAGAGAAACTATCCGGCTTCCACCTCGAAACAAAGTAGAATTCTCTGATTGTGAAACTGAGCAGCCTAGAATTTTAAGTAATTTAATTATGAATTTTTTTTTTTTAATTCTTGAGGGAAAAAAAAAAAGCTGGAAAATAGTCGTAGTACCAGTTTAAACTTCGTAGTGTACTTTTGGTTCCGGAGTGTGTGTTTGTGCCGGCCATGGCCTTACCAGGCCTGACGGTGAGCGAACCGGGAGTTGGCCAGCCCGGGACTCGGGGGGGGGGGTGGGGGGGTGGGGTGGGCTGGTAGACTTCCGTGGCCCCACTGACTCCAAGGGATGGAATGATGGGCTGGTGGTGGTGGAGGATTTGGGGTTGCTGAGACCTCCATCCCACAGGCTGTGCTCAGCCCCGGGCAGATCTGGGCCTGGGGCTCCAGCTCCCCACCCCAAGTCAGCACCTCAGTTGTGGATCCCCCCCACCTCGTGTCAACTGGGAGAAGGACTTGTCCACCAGTAGCCCGTCCCATTTCCCAGCTCTCCTCTACCTGAAAAGGCCCCCCAAAGTGCTGGCCTATGACTGGCCATCTGTCACCCCTATCAAAAGGGATCTAGGTGGTGTCACCCTGTGAGGTGACTCAGGGCCTTATAATGTGGAGTTATCTGAACACCAAGTGGTAGAGCTGCAGAGGGGAGAAGGCAGAGGCGGGCAAGTGGAACCCTTCAATGCCAGATACCAGCAGAGCCAGAAACAAAGCCTGGCCTGCCCACCCCCACGTGGGGCTGCTTTCCACTCCAGTGAGATGCTTCTCTTTTCTTTTCTGTGTAGTGTTTCTTCATTGTCAAAATGCTTTCACTTCACGTCTCATTTGATTGCTGTGACCTTGTGAAGCACGCAGGACAAGTGTTCTTTCTTGTTAGAGACGAGGAAGTAAATTCCTCAAAGGGGACACATCCCAGCCTCACACGGGGAGCGCACCTTGCTGTGCCAGCCTTTGAGGAGAGCCTCAGATTAGACAAGGCCCATCCATGGGAGGAGGGAAGGTTTCTGGTTTCACCCTCTTAAGATCTGTACCACATCTACCGGAGCAAAATCGTCAGGGGTCAGGATGTAGCTGAGCACTGGCCTTCTTGGTGTGTGAGCTCATCCCCACAGAGGGCACGCGGTGGCAGGTCTGAGCGGCTGGGTCAGGGGCAAGGGCTTGCTCATTCCCCGTTTGACATCTTTGAGGTAGAATCAGAAATGGCCCAAGTCTCTTGATTCTACCACAATGCTGTCCCTACCACACAAGAATCCATTCCCGTTTTGTTGGAGCAGCCACTGATTCCCTCCCCGCCCCTCCCCGAAATGGGTAATTTGTTTCCCCTGAGGAGCAAGAGACCATGGCATCCTCCCTTCAGTCAGCTCCCTCATGCGTACTTTTATTAGGCAATAGACTAGTTAAGAAAAATTGTTTCTATGTACTGTATATTTTGTACCTGTTTACACTTCTAATATTGATATAACTGATATTTTGAAAAACAAATGAAGAGGAAACATCCTGTTAAAATAAAACCTAACCAGCACCAAGGCGCTTTGGTTGGTTCCATTCTTAGCCATGTACCTTGGGCACTGATGAACCTCGAAATACTTCTCGCTCGGGAGCTATGTGGCCAGCTTCTTCACACCGTCCTCCTGCCCTTGGTCCCCTTGATCCCAGGGGGCCGCTGTCCCTGAGGGCTGCGAGTGCAAGAATCCAGAGAAGTTAGACTCTGTGGAGGGACAACTGTGACACATCCAGTCACTGTGCTTCAGGATATAATCATGGTTTATGTAACTTGGCTTCATGTAATTTGATATGCGGGGCATGAAGCTAGGCCTGGGGGGAAAAATGGCAGAATATCAAAGAAAAGCAGATGCAGGATGTTCTCTCTTTGCATCTTGTCTTGGGCAGAGGCGAAGAAAGGACTGACGGTGCCTGTGGTGGCTGTGTTCCTGGTCCGGAAGTGAAGTCCGCCCGTGGCGTTTGTGGTGCGCTGACACCCATGTTCCCGTCAACCAGAGTTAACGATTGTTAATGTTTTAGCTCATATTTTCAGTCTTTTTCATTTTGATCGTTGTCGTTTTAAGAAAATGATCAGTAAAATTCTGTAAAATTTATTTTACAGAAAATGTAAAATAAAATCTGCCTCAAACTGCCACGAGGGCATGGGAGTGGGAGATGGGGAAGGAGCAAAAGTGGGCCTCATCCAGGGCCATTGTGAGGATGGCGTCCCTCCTTACCAGTAGCTCTGGCCCCTTTCAAGTGTGCCTCTTGTCCACCGCCCTCCCCCCCACTGGACCTGTCTCCAGTCCTTGGAAATCAACGAGGGACACTTCTAGTGTCTGCCCAACTCACCATACATCTACCCCAGCACCAGGCCCAGGTGTTGCCACATGCCCTGTGGGCAGGAACCCCATGTATCACACCAAAGCTCCCAACCATTTAGTCGTTCACTCAGTGGACGACTCCTAAGCTCTAGCTTGGGTGCACTCTCAAAACAGAGAACGTGGGCAGGACAGGGTTTGGGGGGTGGGGGTAGAGTTCAGTATCAACATCCAGAAAGGGGAGTACCCTATCAGTGGTTAGGAGACCAGGCGAGTACCTCGGGCTGAGGGCGTGGTACCGCTCAGAAGCAGCCTGCTTAGGCCAAAGCACTGCAGTCCTTTTAAGTGTCCATTTGCTGCTGTAACACATGACCACAAACTTTATGGCTTAAACCAGTACAGATTCATTTTATGCTTCTAGAAGTCAGAAGTCCAAAATGAATCTTACAGAGCTAAACTCAAGGTGTCAGCAGGGCTGTGTTCCTCCTGGAGTCCAGATGAGAATCCATTGTGTCGCCTTTTCCTGCTTGTAGAGGTCATCTGCACGTCCTGGTTCACAGCCCTCTCCTTCTGTGCGAGTCACTCCACCCTCTGCTTTTTTTTTTTTTTTTTTTGCCACCCTCTGCTTCTATCATCACATCTTTTTCTGACTTTGACTCTCCTGCCTCCCTCCCTCTCTCTCTAAAATAATCTTGCAACGACTCTTGGCCCACCTAGATAACCCAAAACAATCCCTTCATCTGAAGATCCTAATTTAATCCCACTTGCAAAGTGCCTAATTTTGCTATGTAGGGTACCATATTCACAGGTTCTAGGAATTAGGATGTGGACAGCTTTGGGGGGCCATGTCTGGCTTACTACCCTAAGTCCCAGGGCATTTCTCACCTCCTGTCTGAGGCCAGGCCAAATCCTCCGCGGATGCTCCCATGTTATAACATTTGAAGTTCATCATGCCTAGCCATTCCTTCGTCTCAGCCACCCTCTGCTGCCCGACTCCTGACATCTTTTCTTACCTTCATCTTTCCACAACTTCATTCTATTCCTGATGCCTCCAGAGATGGCCCCCATACCTTCTGACTTTCCATTATGTAGCAGTGCTACATCTTTGTCCTGCTCCCAGGCAGACTTAAGATGAGAGGGATCAATTGTGCCTTAAGCATTTCAATGGCATCAAGACCTTTGAGGACTGTGCTGGCTCCTTTAACTATTACTCTATTATGTCTTCAGTCTTGGGAAGATAACCCCTCCTCCTCTGAGGTTCCTCCTGAGCCTCAAGGGTGTAACTCCCACCTCATCCTGCCCCATTCCACCCCTCATACTGACCCAGGGTGACCTTTCTAACAGGGAAATTGGAGCACTCTTGCTCCCTGGCTTAAAATCCTTCAATAGCTCCCATCACCTACTTGCTGAAAATCCAAATTTTAGTCCAGCATAGCTGACTCCTCCCTATCTTCATCTCCTGCCTAAACTGGACTGCCTGTCTTCCCTGAGCACCATGCTATTCCATGTTTCTGCACGTGCTGTTTCTGCTACATGCAATGCCCACCGCGCCCCCATGCACCTGGTACACTCTTTACCCCTCAAGGCATGGCTCAGCATCACCTAGCTGTCCCTGGTGTCTCTGAAGGTGGCACTGAAGTGCCCTTGCTCAGGCTTCTTCTGTCTTCTGATTAGACGCTCCCCAACTTTGCATATAATGTGTTCCTGGAAGTGTGTATAAAGGGGTATGTAGGGACACCTGAGTGGCTCAGAGGTTGAGCATCTGCCTTTGGCTCGGGGCATGATCCTGGGGACCTGGAATCAAGTCCCACATCAGGCTCCCTGCATGGAGCCTGCTTCTCCCTCTGCCTGTGTCTCTGCCCAGCCCCCCACCCCGTGTCTCTCATGAATAAATAGATAAAATATTTTAAAAAATAATAAAAAAATAATAAAGGGGTATGTATAAAGCTGAGGCAGTACACTTACACAAGTCATAAGGCAGGCTTTCTTCCCTGACAGCTATAAACAAACTGCCTGATTTGACGTAATTGTCAAGCTCCTTTGAACCCTGAGTATTGTGCAATTTACACATGATTATTTAAAAATATTAAAAGCACAATTTGGACATTAAACATATACACTTAAATAATTTGTCTTCAAAAATAGGGCAAAAAGAAATAAATGCAAATATTGCAGGTTGTATAACCTGATGGAAATATCTGGAAATTCCAGATGGGATATAATAAACATAATTTTAAATAGCTTAGGATGGAATAAAGGGAAATCCTAGTGTACCAGAAATGAAGACAAAACAACACCCACATTATAAGCGTGTGAATGACTGTTGCATCTAACAGGGTTGGGAGAAGAAGGTTATATAGGCCTTGGGCCCATGAAGTTCAGAGTTGGAGCTGATGCTTCCTCCAGAGAAAGTCCCCCAAAGGCCTCATATTCAGAAAATACATGGTTTAGAAAAAATGCACCCAACACTAAAAGATGATATTTAGTTGGGTCCTCAGGAAGCAGATGTGGAGACACACTTTAAAGTGCAGGAGGTTTAGGGGGAATAATGCTATGAAAGGTAAAGGCATGAGGAAGCAGGATTTTGCAGGCAAAATCTCTGACCAGGGCACAGACCTAACATCCATGAAAGGGACGAGGAGTGCAAGCAGGTTTGGGCAGCAAGAACAGAACATGCTGTGGTTCTTTTTTTTTTTTTTTAAGATTTTATTTATTTATTCACGAGAGACACAGAGAGAGGCAGAAACATAGGCAGAGGGAGAAGCAGGCTCCTCACAGGGATTCTGATGTGGGACTCAATTCCTGAACTGCAATCACGCCCTAAGCCAAAGGCAGGGTGTCAACTGGGATCAACCGCTGAGCCACCCAGGCATCCCCATGCTGTGGTTTTGATGAACTTCCACCAAACCAAACAAAGGATTCTAGAGCAAGTAATTCCTATTAGAGGAATCCTGTATTGAGCAGAAATGCCCAGGCCCTAAAAACCCACCTGCTCACTCACTGGCTGGGACTGCCCAAGTACAACGTGGCCTTAGCTTGAAAGCCAACGCATTTCCTGAAGGCATTAATAACTGGAGCTGTCAGCTAACAGCACTCCTTGTAGCTGAATGGTAAATTCCTAAAGATCTGAGTGGCAGAAGAACTCCACTGCTGCCACAAAGAACAAAAAGCTGATGCCTCAGGCTGGGCTCTGGGTGATAGTAGTGGGTGGGCCGATATCTTCCTTAAGAATCTAGAACTACAGCTTGTACCTCGCAGTGGGTGAGATTCAAATTTACATTACCCACAGGGCTGATCAATTGCCATAAAAACTGGACAAGGACCAAAGATAGCACTTGAGGTTTCTGGCTGAAGGAAACCCAAAACAGGAGGAATTATCCCACAATCCAGACCATGAGCCTGGCTCAATATAAGCTCACAATCACATATTGCAAAACCCACAAGGAAATAGTCCACCATTAGTGAGAATACAACAAACAGGCAGGATCACAATCCAAGAACTTGAATTCATACATGAATTCAAAATAGAATAAGACAGGAATAGTTTTATAAGGCATAATACTAACAAAGGGCAGAAAGTGGAAGAAGCGGCATGGGAAATGCCTGGTAAATAGAAAAAAAAAATCGAACCTTAAGAAAAAAATCAAGATACTATTACAAAGAAAGTAATATTGGGATCCCTGGGTGGTGCAGCGGTTTGGCGCCTGCTTTTGGCCCAGGGCGCAATCCTGGAGACCCGGGATCGAATCCCACATCGGGCTTCCGGTGCATGGAGCCTGCTTCTCCCTCTGCCTGTGTCTCTGCACCTCTCTCTCTCTCTCTCTCTCTCTCTCTCTCTGTGACTATCATTTAAAAAAAAAGTAATATTTGAAAAAACAAAATTTCTGGAAATAAAATAGTCCTTGAACTTTTAAAAACTCAGTTGATGGGTTAAACAGCTGACCTAAACAGGGCTGCAAAGATGTGATATGTTTAAGAGCAGAGACTAAAACACCCACAATAGATCTATCTAATCATATTTTCTCATTTAGAAAGAGATAATTTATTTCCTTCAGGAGGAAATAAATTTATAAAAGAAAGGCTGACGAGCTTCAAGACGATGGAAGACATAAATCCTCAAACTCAAGAGGCCAATCCTCAAGCTCAAAGGTAAAGCCACAGGTAGAAACATCGTGGTGAAACTAGAACCACCAAAAAGAAAAGGAAAATCCTAAAAGCAGCTGG